GAAAAAACTAAAGAAATGTTTGAAATACTATAACTTGAATACTATTTTTAATACTACATAAAAAACCCCATAACTTCTGAATTTAGGATTTAGTGTGTAGAGTTTAATATTTAAAAGATGAAACAAATTTATAAAATTATATAAAATTCCAAATGATGTATATGATATTAAATATCATATACTTAAAATGAAATTAGAAAAATTTCTTAATTACCTCTAAGATCGTCTTCTTTAACCTTATTACAATATATAATAAATTTATTTATTTTAAGATTTATCATCACCAATTAAGAAGTGACAATTGTATGATATTGTCACTGACTTGATTGATCTTTTTTATTTTTATTTCACTCTAATTCTTGATTCGAACTGGATTTGGTTTAAATTTTTATGATGAGTACTTTTTCTGGCCTTAGATACTAAGTTAAAAATAATTCACTTATGTACCATGATTATTAAAATATAAATATTTACCAATATTTATGTGTGTAAACAAATTCTAAATTCTGAAACAAATCTCACACAATATATACAAAAATAATCTTAAAACATAAATTTATTATTTTATATTCTTTGTAAAATTAAAATATCATATAAAATATGTGTTTATTAAAATATAAATATTAATCGGAAATTTTATGGAAAACGAATTCTTAATTTCTAAAATAAATTTCACATAAAATATGAAAAACATAAAACTATAAAATGAATTATTATTTTATATTTTATAAATATTAAAACATAAATAAAATTCGTTCAATGCACGGGGCAATATCTAGTATATATATATATTTTTTTTTTTTTTATTGGGTATACTGTATATTGATTCAGTTGTGATTATGTAACTTCCACTGTTTGTGGAATCGTTAACCACTTGGCTTAGTCTTGATAGTTGATTTGACGACAAGCAATCTCTGACACATGTCTTACGTCTGCACCGTTGAATTATTTAGAGTCTTTTGGGCTGAAATGGGCCTTATTATTCGGTTAGTTGTATCGCTAATGTTATAAGCTAATGGCACAATTGTGTTATCACAGAAAATAAAATTTAAATTCGGAAGTCAAATATAGAATGAATAAAGGGTTAATTTGCGTAATAAGTAATAACCATGTTTGGCGAGTAAATTAGGTAAGTAGCATTAATTTTGACATAATGTAAAATCAGACATTTACACCACTTCTCAGCCGGTTTTACCCATTTCCTTAACAAGTTTCTAGTCAATATACGTGATAAGAGATGAAAGAAAGATAAACCATTTACGTCATATGTTCATTGACCACATATATCTATATTGAGGTTTCTATTCTATATAATCGAAATAGTATAGAAAACATGGGTGATCCACATATAGCTTTACTATCACATATAGATTCCATAGCATTGGAAAATTATATGATTATAATTCTTCAGATTTCCACCGGTGGGAAGAAGGGGCAATACAGTATTCTATGATTACAGGAAAGTAGGTATTACTTACACCAAATTTAGATTGATTGTGGCGAAAGAAATGAAGATTAATGACAGCATTAGAGATAAGAGGTCGAAGAGACAACATCATATGAATGTCATTCTCATTCAACATCACATTGTATTCTGTTTTATCTGATGACATAATAAATTCTATTCCATTTACGTTCAATATATTTTTTTTTACAAATCATATATAAACTAATATAAACCACATATATACCCCATACAAAACTCATATCAATAGAACATGAAACAACAATAAACAAGATTGAACCCTCTCTTTCAAGCTTACTAAATAAATAGTACATTACATATTAACATGACAAATAAGAGAAGAGCCAAATTTGAAGCAAAGATAATCTATTCCATTTCATAAAATAGTATGGAAATACTGTTTACCCTTCCAACTCATCCATGACAAACCTGAAGAACAAAATGAAAATGAAGACACATTAGTTTACAAGTTGGAAGGAAATTGCAGCATATGAGATAGACTATTAGTATATAAATTACTTTATGTTTAGGTTAAATGTTTAGTTATGTAAATTCTAAAAAAAAATTTGTAATTACTTAATCTAAACCCTAATCACTGATCTATATATCCAAACATAATCTATATAATATGCTGCAAATATCTCGTATTGTACTATACATAGTATGGAACATTTATAAATAGTATAGCATGAACAATTTATTCTATTTCTATTAGCTCTTATTATGCTTAAATACAAAAACCCAAAAAAACTTACATATTAAATCTAAACTCTAATCATTGATCATAATCTAAACTCTAATCATAGATCTATAAATAGAATAGAAGAGTCATTTTACTCCATTTTAGTTCTTAAAATGCTTAAATACTAAAACGCAAGGCTAGCTTCTTATTAGTAAATCTAAATCATAATCACTGATCAATAAACCCAAACATAATCTATATAATATGCTGTAAATATCTCATACTTACTATACATAGTATGAAACATTTGTAAATAGTATATCCGGAACAATTTACTCTATTTCTATTAGCTCTTATTGTGCTTAAATACTAAAACACAAAAAATTACTTACTAAATCTAAACCCTAATCACTGATCTATAAACCCAAATAGAATCTATATAATATGATGCAAATTTCCCATTGTGTACTACATATAGTATGGAACATCTGTAAATAGAATAGAAGCATGTCTCAAACAATCTATATTATGATGTAAAGCATGTCTCAAACAATTTACTTGGAAGACCTAAATCGTCCATGTCAAACCTGAAAAACAAAGTAAGAGGAAAACTTGTATGACAGAGTAATTCATTATATTTTTTTTAGAAAATAACCTTTTTATATTTCAACAGCACGATCGTTGATAAAGAATGGTAGCACATAAGTTACAAATCATTCAATACAGTCTCAAGTAGAATAGTTTGTCAATCGATTTCATCTTAAATAGAATACTTTGAATATATAGTTTTTCTATTCAATCTCAAATCAAATAGACATAAGAGATCTCACGCAGACAAATTGTATTACATATGTTATTTCATACAACAAAATATATTACTATACTATTTACTATGCATCTCTCCTAAATGCAAAATTCAGATTTAACAACGATAAAGAACACTGGGGAAACCCAAACCCTAAATCATGATAGATAGAGACAAATTTTAATAACAAATCCCTATCTCTAACCGATTATGAAGTTAGAGCCAAATTTTAATAACAAATCTGTAAATTTAATTCGTAAAATACATGATAAATTTACCAATTACAGAATCCTAGTTCCAAGTAACTACAAAATAGAAGAGAAAATAACAGGAAATGAAGAGAAGAAAAAGGTAAATAGCGGAAAACTTACGGTGGGTGAAGAGATCATAGAAGAATCGACTTTGAGAAGTTGAAGAGATCTAACATGAATTGAATCTGTGAAGTGGAATAGGCATGGGTTGTTACTATTTACCACTGTAACTTCCACGCCATGGCCTGGCCGGCGATTTCAAAAGCGAAGAAGAGCACGGGGTTGCAAATTATGAAGGAGAAATCAAATAATCGCTCTGAATATGGTGGAGGTGACGTTGTGGAGCAAGTCGGTGCCGTAGACCTGTCAACTTCTACAAACTTACCAATGGAAGTAAAAAAAGAAGAAGATGTGAAGATAATTAAACCACGCTTTACTTTTTCTAGATATTAATTAGAAATTTTTATTTTATTTTTCTTCAGGTTTCACTGGTGGAAAGAAGAGGCAATACAATATCATTATAGAAGATATCATCGTGTATATAAATGTTAGGAAAATTAGTTAGAGAGTGAATTATACTTTTTTCATGGTCATACAACCCAATTTCCCATTAATAAATTATGTAAGAAGATGGTTGGTTCTGGGCATATAAAACATTGGCCTTCACCCTTCAATTTTATAAAATCTAATATACATAAGTTATATAATTCAAAAATTCCGAAGTTAGATATGATTATTACTTAAAAACTTTTACATGGCGAGATGAATCTCAATAACTTTTGTAGATGGCAAGAGTTGTTTTCTACCATAATCCACATGACAAACTATCATTCACGTAACAGCGTTGCTTAGTTGCTGCTACTTGTCTACTTGCTAGTAAAGCTGACTCTAAGTGAGAACGTAGATAGGATCGAAGTATAGAACTCATGCACTGAATTTTACTTAAAGTAAAGAAAAATTTGAAAAAGATTGAACAAGGTAGTTATGTTTATAACCTAATATGTATTGTTAATAAATTGAACAAACTAAACCAAAGCCCAACCATTGTGCAGTTACTGATATATTAGTTTGAAAATAAAATCTTACTATAGTGCCTTTATTAAAGTAAAAGATGTTATCATAGATTTATATTCTGAAAGAGAATTTCAAACTAAATATCCAAAACTAAAACCCGAAATGGGTAAAAGATACCCATCACCTAGCACTACCATCTCTACTTGATAGGACTTATACAGCAATGAAAAGTGAAAGCTAATGAGCATTGCACCCAAAAAAAAGAAGCTAATGAGTAATATGGCACGAGCCCTTAATATTATGTCGGACCAAAAATGTTAGTATCATCACCAACATATTCTCCTTGATCGCGCCCAGCAAATGGCGAGTAGATCGAGGGTTCACATAAGTCATTATCAAAGGTTCCAAAGGGTATGCCATTTTCCGAAAATTAAAATCTTAAGCTTATTAGTAAAGAGTTAATAAAAGACCATTGAGAACTACAAATACAAATTAAAGACAGCATAAGGAAAAAATGATATGGGTCCCCTGCATGGCTTGACAAGTCATCCTCATCGTCATCATACTTATCTAAAAAATCCAAAAACCTAACAATATCAAAAAAGAAAGAGAACTCAACCATATTGGAAGTGTCATGATTCCCTACATGATGACAATAACATTGCATTTTAAATAAATCATGTGGATACCATAAAATTTAGGTTTAAATTCATGATAATGAGATGGTGGTGGTGGTAAAGAGGGTTATGAGATATTGATCATGCTCTCCATACCATGACATAACTATGGTGATGTTGATGTAGATGTGACGTTCGATTCCAAGAAACCTGTCTTGGTTAAGACATCATTTCTTGTTTTGCTGAGATCTCTTCCTTTGAGTGTTCTTCCGATTCCTTCACACATGGAGAAAGATGAGATCTGCGTTCTTGCAAGCCTTCTTGCCACCAGTTCATGGGGAGGAACCATTGAGTCTTCATCATCATCTTCATCATGAGTGGCCCACGAATGCAAATGGTTGCTTCTGGTGCTCTTCTTCGTATTCCCATAAATCTTGGACCAGTCAGGAACATTCATTGGAGCAGATGACTGTTTGAACCTTGAGACCTCGTTGCCCTTAGGAATGTACCTTGCAGAAGATGAAGAAGCGGCTGAGAAGAGATTGCTACTTTTGAAAATTCTCATTTGAGGACCTTGAGTTTCCTTTTCTCTCAAAACTGACCACACATCTTCTTCTTGAAACTCTTCTCTTCCTTCCATTGTTAAAACAAAACCCTACTCCTTAATATTTCTTCTTTTAGCTGCAACTAAGTGGTATTCTTACTCCTGAAAACATGAAAACATTTTATCTTAAGATCAAAAAGAAAGAAGAGATAGAGATAGGGGGAGAAAGAGGAGAGAGAGAGAGAGGGAGGGAATTAAATTACCTGAGAGAGGCAGAGGAAGATTCAGTGAAAAATTGATGTATAAAAATGTGAACCATAAACAACATTAAACAATCTCTCTTTGCTGGCAAATGAGAGACAGAGAGGTCATTGATTGCTTCAAGGGAATCAAAAGACACCACAATAGGCAGAGGATTCATAAAGATCCAAAACTGTAATAATTTCGTACTTTTTTGGGGTGCCATAACTATGATTTAAATATATAATAAATAAAATAATAAAAAGGTTTAGATTATAGAGGAGTGGTAGCCTTTGGTACTATTTCTACTAAGACCTGCCAAAATAATTGATAGAGTCTGATTCATGCAAGAAGACAAAGAAACTGTACTATATGAAAATATACTTGCTTTATCTCAATCTTGTTTCCTAACACACATTGTACTCTCTTAATTTTTATAGCTATACAGATTTTGTTAGTAATTAAAGAGGAAATATCAAATATGTACTAAAATTCTCCCAAAAAGAGCTTGTGATCATTTTATATTTATCCTTTTTGAGAATCTTTGCTTAATTGTTTCTCTTAAACAAGTTTTAAGATTCTTGGTTTTCTATTACGAAGTACGTATTATTATTTAAAAGGTGTTCTAGAAAGATACTCTATAGTATTTATCACATCAAAAAACTGAATCCCGTGTTCGTACACACGTAAATACATCAAACTTTTTTGTGGGGTAAGAATCAAAGGGATTTGTAGTTTCTGAAAATCAATTTGTTAGGCTATCCAATCAAACGCTTTGTGGGTCTCCGCGCAAGGGATGTTATTCGAAAGCACGACGTATGGAAAAGTGTAGTTTTTATATAACACCTCTAAATTGTAAAAGATTCTTATTTATAACCTCTCCAGTTTTAAAAGATACATATATGATAAGGTAAATCTCCAAAATATCACCTTTTTAACTTTATGTCACAAAAATAGTCTTCAACAACTAAAAGGACCAAAATAGTATTTTATCTTTTGAAAATTTTAAAATTTTTTTATTTTTCAAAAATTGAAATCTTATCCCCAAAACTCCATTCCCAACTCTAAACCCTAAAACCTAAATTTTAAACTCTAAACCCTAAACCCTAAATCCCACCCTTTAACTTTAAACTCTAACTAGATTTTGACCCGCGCTTGAAAGCGCGAAATTTTTTTATGATTAAAGATTTATATAATTGGGTTTTGTCTAAATTTAAATAATATTTTGATATAAAATCAGTTAACCAAAATTTGTGGTGATGATTGTTTTTCATTAGTTTTTAGTTTTTATTTTTAGATTTTGGTTTTTAGTTTTTAAGTTTCTACTTTTCATTTTTAGTTTTTAGTTTGGGTTTTTAATTTTTAAACCCGTTGAGTTAGTTTGAACTAATATTACCAACAAACAAATCTCAAATAATTGAACATCTAATTTAAAACTGAAAAGATGATAACACATTTTTTAAAAAAAAATTGAAATAGTTTATTTTGTAAATAAACAAAGCAAAAAAATGTGACATGTGTTTTCAGCTTTTGGTTTTGGATTTTAGTTTTTAGGTTTGGTTTCTGGTTTTGCTTTACATTTTTTAAATCAGTAAATTATTTAAGAAAAATAAAACAATAAATTATTTAAAAGTTACCATTGAAATTTATCAAAACAAAGTAATTGTTATTAATAAAAAAATATATTAACATGTTTTAAAGTACATGATTTAAATAAATGATTAATAATAGATAATTTTGTTTTGTTAAAAATATTAAATACCTTTTGGGTCTGAAAATAATAATTGATTTTTTGATCTTTTAAGGTGAAAAGTTTATTTAATGTTTTTGGAGTTTTTCCTTAATAATAAGCTAAAAACAAAACTATATAATTTGTTCAAAAAATAAAACTAAGCCCAAGACTATATTCCATAAATAACCACTGGTTTAATTTAAGTATAATTAGTAGATTTCCATATTCCATATTTTGATGATATATATTCTTTTAGAACATTCCATATTTGTAGGAGAAAATATGTGTTTTTGGTATACACATAGATACCTGCCGTATTTTGAAGGTAGTTTACATTAAGGTCGTCTCTTTACATTAATTGTGCTGGTTTAATTAAGTAATACGGTTCAATCAATTATATGATTTATATTATTTGTAACATTTTAGAAATGGTCCAAATTTAAATGATAACTTGTATCAGTAGATAAAAAGAATGACTCTATTTTAATATAATAGATGTCTAAATTAATTTATCATTGAGATATAGGTGTATATTATCTCTTTTGATAAAACATTTAGTGCTATTTTGATCATTTTTATTCTTAAGTGCTATATTTGTGACAAAAACTTTTTTAGTGTTATTTTAGTCATTTTCTCCATATGATATATGTACCCTAACTTGTAAAGAACCTCGAGTCCGAACTTAAAAAAAGCCTCAAAGAACCTATTTTGAATCAAGAAATTGACCCTTTGAAAAGAACATATATACTGTTCCTTACAAAACTCATGACTTAATGTACATTGAAAGTGTAGAAACTGTTAAAATTAGAATGATATGTTGGAACATATGCGGCTTTAACAGTTTGGCTGTAATAGCTGTGGACGATGGCTTTTTAGCTCATGAGTTTTGAGTTGTAACATGAAACTATCTATCTACAACAGAAAAATAGAAGTGCAGGAATGGTTGAACATGACACGATTTATTGGAATCTCTTTCTCGATCGGCTGCATGTGACGATGGTTCTAGGACTCTAGCTATACTCTTTTGAGTTATTCACTCCTATCACACAAGTGACATGGCTGACATAATTCAAACTAGAGTTTGACCTGTGCGTCTGTATGGATATTTATTTTAGTTTCTATATTATGCATTTTTAGAGAACAAAAGTTTCCATGTTTACAGGTAACATTTTTATCATATCTTCAATTTTAGAGGATTTGCTGTGAAAAATGTATTATTGTAAAAAATGCTAAAATAATATATGCGTTTGAACGAAAACTTTTGAGTTTCTTCCTCCCGTGTTTGAGTTTCTTTCTCCCACACGACATTGGAAAAAAATACACCTTCTCTAATAAATATTTGTGACATAAATTTTGTTGGAAAGGTTGACTTCAACCTACATATGTGGTTGACTCAATTGAACTTTTTCTAAGAAATTTTTCCGGTTATTAAATATTGATAATATTTAAAGAGAAGATTAGCACAACATGGCTGCAGACGTTAAGAATACCTGAGAACTTTTCAAATTAAAGATCAGAACTTTGTAAAGGAAAAGTTAAGTTTTGTAGAATATAACATAGCCGACTATGTTATATTCTACAAAACTTAACTTTTCCTTTACAAAGTTCTGATCTTTAATTTGAAAAGTTACTGTGGAGAGTTTCAAGATATTTGCAGATTCTTATTTGGAGAGGCTGCGGCTGCGATTTGGTTGGAACGCTGGGCCGGCTATTGTACACCGGTACTCTCTTTTCAGGATTTTGAGCAAAAAAAAGACCGCAATATATAAGACATAGGTGCAGAGATTAATTTTGCATAAATGTAACCAAACGAGGTAAAGCTTTTACATTTAGAAGCGGCTTTCCTTTGTTTCTCAGAATTGCGACCTTTTCTGGAAAGAGTTTCCACGCAGCTGAGAGACCGTTTTATCATTTAATACAAGTTAGATTCCATGGAGCAAAATTTCATAAAGTGCAGAGAGATATGTCACTTACTGCAGATTTTGAAGAGTCCAAGGTGAAGAACCCAGTAAAAAATGGAGGTTCATTTCCTTCTGGTACATGTATATCGGTGTTTTGCTTGCCAGATTCTCTATAAGGAAATCATGCTTAAGGAATTCCTGTTGAGGCAGAGGATATACAAAAAACAGTTTTAGTTTTGCTACGATAATATAAGTTGAATGGAACTTAAGTACCTCTCCAATGGGCAATGACTAAACCTTGTGACTTCTTCTTGCGGTCAACTTGTCGCCCGACCCAGCCCAGGCATATATTTCAGTGCGACAATCAAGAATGAAGATATCTTTAGTGATTACTGTGATCATATCATCTTGAGCGAAGTTGAAGATCTATGTAACCTATATGGGGATAAAAAGAAATAAGAGCTTTGGTAAGTGCCCGAGACATGAGATCATAACATGAACATGGCTTATAAAAAAAAAACATAGGTTACCTTTAGATTTTCTGGTAAGACATGACATCCCCGATTAACGACCCACCATAAAATACATATGACAGTTTGTATCAGTGCTTGGACTGAGAAAAAGAAGTGAAGTAAAAGTATTTGGAATATATGTTGTCAAATGGTTTTAAGAATGTGAAAGAGAAGATGACATTGCAACACCAAGTGAAAACAGTATAGTCACTATGTAATATTTAACCGTGCGAAGAATTTAGCCCTATAAAAATCTGTTGGAACCTGATAATACTTAAGTTACATGTCTTAAACTGATGAAAGAAGCTGCTTTATCATGGTTTCTGTTTGAACCGAGTTCGGTCTATTCAGTGAATGAGTGACATGACTTGTCTGTGGGTTATTTCAAAGGCGTTTTCTTACTATTTAGAGTCAAAATGGGATTTTATTGATGAGAGAGTTCGGTTACAAATGAGGAAATGAGAGGCGAGGCGGAGTCTCACGGAGAGCTCGGCCGTGCCATACAAGTCGGAAAGAAAATAGAAGAGTGAAAACCCTAGTTCTAGCCGCCTTGTGAGTGAGAGTGATTTCGGATCCCTTCCTCGTTGCCTCCTCTCTCCCTTTTATAGTAGTCATGCCAAATGGACCTTGCTCAGCCCGCTAAGTTGAGCACTTTTCCTAAACCTCTTTAACTCGGCTAATCGCAGGGATTAGCCTAGCTAAACTCGATCA